GTTTTTGAAAGCATTTGAGATGCTCAATTTGAGGTCCAAAGAGAGCTCCTCCATGACGCCCCTCAGCTCCCAGAGCACGCAGTAAGTTCCTACCACTCAAGTAAGCCCTGCAGGCTTTCAGGCATAGATGACTGCTTTGATAAGGAAGGGGGGTGAGCAACTGTGTCCACTCAGCTGTGAGGGCAGGAGGAGACAGCTGACAATCACCTCATTCTGGGAGTTCCAGATACCAGGTTTTCACACAGCATGTAATTATGTCGCAAACCTCTTTGCCAGAGCATGCAGAGAGGTTCCAGGAATTCATCTCATTTTTTCCTTGAGCAGAAGATAGCTCTCCTGGCTCGACACCAAGCAGTGTAGACTTAGCACCACGTCAGGGTGAAAGGCTCCCCGGGCTCTCAGAGGCTCTCTGTGCTTCCTCTGATCTGTAACACTTTAAACCATGTGCTATCAACCACTGTCAGTACCTGAAACTAATGAGGGAACCGATGGCCAACCTGGCCTCGGTTTGGTCAAATATGAGCCTTGATGGAGCATAAAGAAATTAGAGCAAGCCAGGTTACATTTATGCAGAGAACCAATGACAGAGCAAACAGTAAGAACAAACCCCCAGACCCACTCCAGTAGAGAACCTGTGTGAAATCCAGAGCGTGAACAAACCCAGACCACACAGCTCTTCTCTCCTGAAACTCACCCTGAATCCTGAATCTCCAGGGATTTTAAAGCATTGCCTGCATTTCAACTTCTATGATATTCATCATTATCTTCACCTAATCACATTAATATTTTCACTGAGCAGATAAGGCTGTTATCAAAACCACATTGTGTGGATTTACAAAAAACAGAATAATTCACTGGCCTCTCTGACACTTGTTTTTGCCTGAGAGGTGGTCAGCAACTAGCAAGATGATGGATTTTCTCATTATGATTATTTTTAATCACTCGGTTTTCTTGTGCAATGGGCAGACCTAAAGCAGAAGCCTGTTTCCTCATGTACCAGGATGACTGAAAGGAAACAAAAGCAGACAGACTCCTTTGGTTTCAGATCTTCAAAGATATTCCCTCACGCTTCACACAGTGAGTAACAATGGGCCCATTTTAGCAATGGGTTATTTGTTCCTTCAGATCAGCCTGCTATTTCCTACCCTGTTTTTTTTTTTACCTTCAAGTTGTACTGTTTGCAGTAGGGATTTCTGCCTCTCCCCTTCCCTGCCCCCAATCATCTGTGTGCTTGCTTGAATGCAGGACAAGAAATGCAAACACAGCAGTGAAGATTTTGAAGAAGAAAGGCAAAAGGTACATGAGCACGCTTTTATTTTCTTCAGTAACATTACTGTAGTATTTCCAATACAATTTTGGTCTAAAAGTGGATATTTCTAACCTCCCCTACGCACAAGGAGAGCTTTCAGTTTTGTTTTCTGTAAAGAGCTGGCACTCATTGGCCTCCCTACTGAGCTTAGTAGTTACATGTACAGAAAATGAATCCCACACCTTTCCTAGCACTAGCACAGCAGCCCACCATTGAATGCTAGGGGATATCAGGGTGGGGGTAGGAAAAAGACAACAAAAAGTGTAATGAAAACATTAATAAACTGGGTGAACCTGCAAACAGGAAAACAGGAAAGAGGCGACTTGGAGAATGACATTGTATTACTTAAGTTGTAACTCAAATTCATGGTGCTAATGAACAGCTTGTGTTCTTGGAAGGAAGTCTCAAGTTTTATGGAAGAGTTTCAGGAGTTCATAATACATGCATTAAGCTGGCAGACCAGCAAGGACACATTTGTGGTGACCACAATAAGAACAAGGCTCAGCAAAAAGCAGAGTTCTGTCCAGACTGAGCCAGTGGGATAGCAAAAGGGGGTTGGACTCGATGATCTCTGGAGGTCCCTTCCAACCCCTACAATTCTGTGAAAAGGACACGAAAGCACAGCCAAAGCCAAACTGCAGCTCTTGGCTTCAACAGCTAACTTCAAAAATCAGAAAGTTTACTTTATTTGCAGCTCTGATTTTTTTTTTTTGCCCTGCTTAACTCTACTATTTGGAACAGTCTGAATCAGGCTTTGATGGAAAGCATGCTTTCTTAAAAACCTGAACTCCCACAGAACACTGTCCCATCTCTCCCACCCATGGGCTTCTGTCACTGGACATGAAGTCACTGAATCACTGAGTACCGAGACTGCTCAGCTTGTGGAAGTCAAAAATGCAACTGCAGTGGAAAATCCATCCAGTGAATCTGAAGAGTTGTTTCTGTTCCTCAGTTAACTTTGAAGTTTATTAGAGAGGGAAGAAATCTACCAACAGCTGTAGTAACATGAGATAGAGAGAACAAAGACATGACAACGTGGAGATAGGGAGGCACTTAGATGGGGGGCTAGAGATGCAGCAGAGACTGGGGAGTGCAATACAGGTCGCTAGCTGAACAGGCAGAGGTAGACAAGGAACATAGGCTGATTAGCAATCTTCCAACATTTGGAAGAACTGGGGAAATCTCCATCTTGCTAAATCTTGTCTTTCAGGGCTCAAGGAATTCCCTCTGTGCTAGCTCAGGGACTGACTTCTCAGTACACCTACAGTCAGAACTGAGTCACACCTGCCAGCCTCTGTGATCTTATCTGTGTTAGTTTCAGTGGGAAGGAACTGTAACACATACCAGACGTGTTACTCCTGGCCTGTTCAGAGCACCTGGGCCGTAAACTTACACGTGGAAGTTCTGAGTCTCCCTTCAAAAGTACTACCAGATGTCTCTTTTTGCATAGCATGGTGTTCGCTGGCCACAATGAGGCTTCCAGAACCGAGCTTGCTTCGGCATTTGCACTCCACTCCTGTTCTCGCCTTCATCCTGCAATGAACTGGGCAACAGCCTTAAAAAGTTTCAGGAAGAACCTGCAGAGAATTGGAAGAGTGATGCTTTGTGCTCATGCTGACTGCCATTCCTCTTCCCAGGCCATCTCCACACACCAGAATCCATTAAGAAGTTCCCTGCCCTATTTGCTTGCTAAGTTGGTTTGCCATTATCGTGTGAAAAGGAAATAGATGTGAACTCATTTGGATTGGTGCCCTCAGGCAAAACACGCACACAGCAACAGTCTTACCCACATGAGGCATAATAAGCTGGAAGGGAAAGGCAACCAGATCTCCGGGAGCTGTCTGAAAGCCACATCAGCACACAGTGAAAGCTGGATTGCTCATCACCACAGCACAAAGTCCCAAATGAAGGGTTAACTGCATGAATCCTCGATGAAGCCCTACTGAATTGCTCACCTAACACAAAAGTTTCATTAAATTCTAATCTGCACCTGATATTCTCCAGCCAAAACTCTTCTCAAGTTTGGCTTGCGGTGCTTTCAACAGTACGCTGAAGAACAGAAAGGACTTCAAGAATGTTCTTATCACCAATCCAGTCCAGTGCAACACTTCATTTACACATAAAAATAAATACACCATGGGGATGTGCAGGGGAGGGAGTGGGGTGGAACTCAAACACAAGGGTATGTGTGTTCCAAGTCACAGAAAACTTGTATTTAGAGGAAAAAAAGATGACTTCCTCTAGAAGCTGTTGTGATCTGTGCATTAATTACAGCTCACTTACCTTCCTTATCCCAAGGCTTGTTATTTCCTCCTCCCAGCTGCACTGGGAAGTAAAGGCTTGAGCCTTTATACAAAGGAGCTAAAGCACTTTAAAGGCTTAACCTGATGCAATGCCTTTTAATCGCTGATGCACTTCATTTTCCCTGCTGGATTCCAGGAAGACTTCACCCTCCTTTAAATCTAAGAGCCATATTCCTGTTATCACAGCCCACTATTCCCGTTACTTTCATTACAATCAAATTTCCTCACACCACTTAGCAGACTCTTTCTTCCCCCTTAAACTAAGTAATCCACTATAAAGCTCTTTACATTCTCCAAACCATTTCTCACTAAATAATTCCAAACAAGTCATTACTACATTTGATAATCCAGTAAGAGTCAATTCTTGCTCAGTTTTCTCAACTCTAAATTTACTTCACAGAAAATCAATATATATCCAAAAAGTTACTCACTGCTCATTCTTAAGCAGCTAGGAGCCACCAATGCTGCAGCAAAGCAGGAGCCTGCCAGCCCCTATACGTATACCCTATGCAACATCCTAACACTCTGCTTTTTAAAGGCTTGCCATCTTCCATTCCCAACTGTTCCCAAATTCCTATATTCTTTATTATGCTCCTCAGCAGACACTCATGTTGTACCTTCTTGTTGCAGCCCATTTCCCTATCTTTGTTCTCAATCTGCTCATTACTCCACCAACTCCAGCTGTTTCCAGGAGAACTGCTTCTCCATGGGAGCAGACAGGCTCAACAGCACTGAAGTTCTGACTGAAGGACAGTCACTGGCTTCCCCTCACCTAAATAGGAGCAATTGGTCCAACTGCCCCTCCGCTGTTTTTTACCTATCGAGCCTAGCAGGGCTACTTACTCAGCTTTCTCCTCTTTCCTCCTTTTCCTTTCTTACATCACTTTGAAGCTGGGTTGATGCCTTCTCTCAGCACTTCTTCTGCCCAGTATCACTCAGCCTGTTTTTCTTTACTCAGTTGAGTCCTTTCTTTCACCTCATGGTCATGGAATGGTGTAAAGCAATGACTAACACCAGCAACCCACGAATCCACTAACTGGTTAGTATCACACATGCACTCCACCCCATCTTACTCCATAACATTTAGTTCTTCCTCTCTTCCCCTGTCCCTTCGTTTATGCAATCCACTCTTTGATCCTTCCTTAGAACTCAGCACCAAACGTATTGCTCACCTGCCTATCCTCAGGATTTCTCTATCACTCGTTGCTCATCTGTTGCAGCACCTAACAAATTCCAGGACAACTGCAGCAGCATCTTCTTGACAATCTACTACCTAAGTGTCGAAGCCGCTGGATAAACTCTTGTAGCTCTTGAAATGTGTTGCTGAACGCTCTGCAGTAGAGCACAATTCAGTCAATACTGCATCTGAGATGAAGCACTGCAAGAAATATTTAAATCACATTTTATTTTTCAAATTCAAAAATAACAATTAGCTTTATTTAACATTACACATCTCACAGGTTTAAAATATCATGCTCTATTTAAATATCTGAGTGACAACACTATACAAATAAAATGTTACACAAAATATATTTAAGAAAATGTTTTGGTCTTCCATCTGAACAATAAATAGACAGGCACTTCTACATATACAAAGGAAGCAATACTACTTAGAATAGCTCTCATAAGCAAGATGTGGAAATACAGAAGAAAATCTGAGATTTGAGAACATGTTTAACTCTACATGAGACATCATGCAACTTCAAATTTTATTTCAAAATTCAAACCTGTTAGGAACTGCACAATCCTACACTTGCTACCGCTTTACAGGAGATCCAAACCATGCTCTTAGAAGCAATGTGCAATTTTGGTTACTGTTAATCAGCTACCTGATCACTTTTAGTGCCCAAGCAGAGAACAAGGATGAACCAGAGTAGCTTTCACAGAGATACTGCGAGTAACAACGTCAGCATTACCGTGTGTGTAAGCTCAGGGTAGGCAGCAGCAGAGCTGTACCAGGCACAAACAGAACTTGTTCCTTCTTTCCCTTACATATTCAGATCTTTCATGGGGTGTTTGAAACCATATTATGTCTTCTTTTATTAAAAAACAAAACAAAACAAACAACACACCTAATAAAAGGGTAAATCCTTCAGACACAGGCATACTTTGCACAAAAGACTGCATGTAAAGGAGAAGATACTTGTCCAGGGTGCATAAAGACTGGAAACTACAAATTAAAAAAAAATATATATCAATAATTGAAGTTCCATAAAAATGTTTTATAGAGTAAAACAGTACTCCTCCAATTTGTGAGTTTCAAATGTACAGTGGTCTCCACACACAAACACGACTCAAGGAAAAAGAACGCACCTGTTACCATCGCAATTAATGAAAGATGCTCTGCAGCAGGCATCAGTAGCTGACAGCTAGTTACTTCCAGTCCTCTTTAATGTTTAGACTGCTACTGAAACATAATGACCACCAGGACAGTGGAAAAACAGGACCAAGTCTTTGTGCCATCCTCTCAGTATGACTACTGCCACTTTTCAGACGTATGTGAAGAAAGTTTCTTGAGAAAATTTGAATAGAACAATTAAACAGAGCTCCAGTGGCTCACCAAGAAAGCCAGATTTAAACTTGGAAAGTTATTTGGACATAAAGTATTTATGCACATTGCTCTAGCAATTTAAGTGTGGATCTTGCAAGCTTGTCCAAATCTTAATCATTTCTTGAGGATTTCTACTATGCACTAACATTAAATTTGTGTAGGAACATATGTTATTTCTGTATTTCTCTTCAATATCAAATGTTTTGAAACCTTTGTGTTTTTCTGGAGCAAGCCCAAGCTTCTGAAGGCACATTCCAGTATACACATCATCAATAGGATACAGGAGTACCTGGTCAGATGCATTATTCAGTCTCAATGCCAGGTCACCAGAGTACAGAAACCCACCACCTCCTGCATACGGAGGATACGAACCTTCATAAACACTTTCTGGGATGTAGTACTTCAATTTTTTTTCTCTATGAGGTCCAGCATCTTTGATCACATCACCTACAAACAAGTCTTTGGCTTTGTCCTTTGATAAACTCTTCAAGTAATCCAGGATCTGATGGGTATTCACAAATACATCGTCATCGCCCTTAAAAATAAACTGGACATCCGCACAACTGCTGCTCACCCACTTCAGAAACAGTACCTCTTTCAGAGTTAAATTGAAGAAAGTGTCTCTGTAGTTCCAGAGGAGAATGTCTTTGTGAGTTTCGCTCTCAAATTTTACCATGTCTGTAAGGTTGGGAAAATGATCCTCCGGTGGGGTCTGACCAAGTAAGAAGACTCTTTTGACCGTTATATCTCCCGATTTTATTTCCTTGCCCCAGGATTCCCTAATTGCTTGCCTTCTATCAAAATGTGGTATAAGTGACTTAATAGCCAGCAGCAGAAAAGGTTTATGTTTGCACTTGTTTGGCTGATCCATTATTAACGAGTAATTTCTACACCTCAAATAGAGGAGGAAGTCTTTGAACCTTTCTGGCAAACTCGCGAAGTCGCTGATCTCTGAAGCGACCCACGGGTCGGGGTCGCAGGAACTGAGAACACTTGAGTTCAAAATTAAGTTCTCTTCCACAGTCATATTGGAAAGCAGACTCAGAATTGGGTTGTACAGCAGTTCAAGCTTCTGTTGCTGCCTGTTCCAATAGGCTTTGTGAGGGGTAAATTTTCTCCAGAATTTGTCCTGTGGTATAATAACACGGTCTTCTGCATTCTTTTCTTGGCTGCCACTTTTTGAGACTTCCACAATCACATAGATAAAAAAGTTTACCATCATCAGAATTCCCAGCAGCTTTAATCTTCTGCGTCCAACACTCATTTCTCATATCTGAAAAGGGAAGAAATGACAGATTCTTAGCGTTCTTCCTATCAAATTCCTGCTTTCATAAAAATGCAAACTACTCTCAAATTAAGTAGGAGCCTACAAAGATGATTAGGGACCTGCAGCATCTTTATGAGGGAAAGCTGAGAGCTGGGAATGCCCAGCTTGACAAAGCCTGAGAAGAGATCTTACCAATGCTTATAGATACCTAATGGGCGAGAGTCAGACAGATGGGGCCAGGATCTTTCTGGCGGTGCCAGAGATGGGACAAGGGGCAGTGGGCACAGACTGGAACACAGGATGTTCCATTACAAACACGAGGAAAAACTTCTTGGCTGTGAGCGGGACACAGCGCTGGAACAGAGAGGCCGTGGAACGTCTCCAGAGGAGCTCACTCAAAACCCTCCTAGACACTGTCCAGTGCAACCTACTGCAGGGAGCCTGCTTTAGCAGGGGGTTGGACTCGATGATCCACAAAGGCCCCTTCCAACTGCCGTGATTCTGCCTGGAACGTGTAAGATATAACCTAAGGACAAAGCTTACCTACACTCAAAAAAGTAGAAACTTACCTACCTCTAATACATGCATACCTGCAGCTAGTCGCATTTGGGGTTCCATCAGCAGACAAGATGTAAGAACAAAGTTTCTACTTCCCACTTTAGAATTTTATATAGCATTTTACAAAGTGTCGAGGTTAGCAAGCAAATTATAACTCTCATTTAAGTCTCCTTGAAACACCTGACTGTTCAGTAATTAAAATCATGGAATAGCTTGGGTTGGAAGGGACCCCAAGGATCATCAAGCTCCAATCTCCAGAACCCGAGCCCTCCGCTCAGCAGAGAGAGGTAGAGTTTTTTTTTTTTTTGTTTTTGTTTTTTTTTGCTAGCAAGGTGAGCTTTAAAAGTACATCATGAATTGCTACACAATACAGTCAGTTCTTTTAAAATTGAGTTTCAAGCTTTTATACTTGTATTCTTTGACCCTCCAACTACAAAATTAGCAAAGCTGAGTTTTCAAGTATAGTTTGTTTCCACCCTTTGCACTTGGCTGTTCTGTGGGAGAGAGGCTGACAAAGCCAACCAGCTGCACTGCTGATCTTCAGAACTCGGCAGACAGAAGATAGCGCAAGCTTTGACTTTCTTTTTCCTCCCAGTAGAAAAGAAAGAGAATGGCAGCTGAACGCCGAGTGTAATTACTGCTACAGAAAACACAACTGAAGAGACTTAAATTAAAAGCAGAGGTTCCCAACATTTGTAAGCCAGGAATAGTAAGGGTATGTGTATTTGTTGTAGCACAAGTTATTCTGAGACCCACGTGCAGTTCTTACAGAGAAAATGCATCAACGCCTCTTTCCTTCAAAGCTGTCAGAATGAATGACATAGAAACAGTGCATGAAGCAACCCACAACAGTGTTCCTCTAAAATAATACTAACACTGCTTACTAGCCCAGAGGGTAGAGAACCAATATAAAAACTACAAAAAAAAAAAAAAAACAAAACAACCTTAACTCATTCTAAATTCAGAAGCCAAACTAGAAAATTCAGGATGAACAGAGTTACATTAAGGCTCCGTTTAAGATATATACAGAATTCTGCAAAGCATCTTTCACTCACCAGAAGTGTGATTAAATAAGACCAGAAAAAACAAGTGAAGTAACACAAAAGCTCAGTTGTAGATGTTAGCTTAGAACTCAGAGAGCAACAGCAGTCAGGAAGGTGCAGTTCAGAAGTACACCATGTACTTACTCTTCTCTTCATACAGCAGTTAAACAAGTTGAAAAAAAGTAACACTTCCTAGAAACTGGAGTGAAATGCCTGTTTTTCCTTCATTTTACCTCACCTTGTATCTGTATATGTATCTCCATATGTGCTCAAGACAGATTTAATTCATGTCCTGCTCACAGCCAACCCTCAAGTCTGCTGTCCAAGTTCCATACCTCAAAGACAAAAACATATCTGTGGCCAGTGTCACCATTTACTCTAAATACCTCAACTGTTAAAAGCACTGTCAGCTTCAGCTACAGGCAGACCATCAGGTAGCAGTTTCCCCCACTGTCTCTAAGCACACACGCTGGATGGAAAGCAGCAGTCCCACATCTCACACCACTCCCCGCAGCTCAGCGTGTATCAGCGCTCACACACCTTGTCCTCAAGTGGCTTTATAGCAAACCGCAGTGCAACAACAAATGACGTGGTACTTTACCTATGATCTCTGTACTCCTGAGACAGCAGGGTGAGAGGCTCACCCGGCGATTGCAAATGCGGGACTGCCGAGAGCTCAGTCACAGCCTGATTTTCCAGAATATGTAGCACTAAGCAGCTGATCTGTTCACTGCCCCCAGCTACTAAGCCACGAGCATTCAACACTTTTGCAATTCATCGTCTAGATGCTAAGATCATTTCCAATACAATGACGCACCATTGTTACAGCCTATTTCAGTGACAAAACAAAATCTTTCCAATCTCCAAGTCTTTGGGGTAAGCATTCAAATTCAGTACCCACAAGGTCTTCCTCAATCTCTGTTTTATTCCCACACCTGTAGCAATTCCCTGCAGCAAATGGGACAGCAAAACCTTCGTTAGTTAAGACTTAGTACAATGTTTCATGACAAAAATACCAGTAGGGAAAAAAAATCACAGCAGTTCTGTCTAATAATATGTGGCACAAATTACCAGTCCTACATATGAGCACTTCTGGCATCATTTTCAGTCTTGCTTTCTAAGAAGGTATAGAATATTGCTGATAAAATTTCTGAGCATTGACAGGTAATGTAACATGAAGTGTCAATGCAAGGAAAATGAATAAAAACAGCTGTGTTGAAAAAGCAACCTTTATCTAAATAAAACAGAGGGACTGCGTTGAACACTTGGAGCACGAGACTGAGCTCTTATCGAAGACAATCCACAGACACCTAAAAGGCTATTTCCAGCAAACGTGTAAACCTGCAGATTAATATTGACTTGAATCACATCACCTGAAGACAGAAGCAATAAGATGATGCCAGCTGAGCCATTTCACATCAAGGGAACGGGATTTACCATGAAGCACAGTATTATAGTCCTCATAAAAACAGGGGAAGAGGAAGTGGCATTTTTAACACTGTTAGTGTTCTTTGTTCCTCATCTGCTTTGCTGACATAGCAGTGATTGACTGAAGCATGATGGCAATGCAGATTGTGTGCCCTAAACAGCTTGCTATGGAACAGCACCACAGGGTACACGAGGGCACCCATTTCCACTCGCAGCTTACTGGCAGCAATCTGGGCAGATCACAAGCACTTTTTTTACTCCAGTAATAGCTTCTTCCATCACCACTTGTATTATAAAGCTTCCAGCTGCCCTTCTTTGACTGATGAGAATGGAAGATCTGCTAGGGAAGCCAGAAATAAACTACAAGCGATTTGGTTCACAGAATCATAGAATGGCCTGGGTTGAAAAGGGCCACAACGATCACCTGGTTTCAACCCCCTGCTATGTGCAGGGTCGCCAACCAGCAGACCAGGCTGCCCAGAGCCACGTCCAGCCTGGCCTTGAATGCCTCCAGGGATGGGGCATCCACAGCCTCCTTGGGCAGCCTGTTCCAGTGCATCACTGCTGTCACTCCAAGGAAACCAGCATGAAAACTCACTGAAGAACTAAAAAGCGCAGTGCAAAGCAATACTTTACTTCGGAAAAAAATTCTGCTGTTTTTGCTTTTAAAAATAGAAAAGGTGAGCATGCGTAGCTAGTCCGCACAAAGAGTAAAATACAAGCACATACTAGATACTGGTAAAGCAAAACACAGTATGCAGAGCCCTGGGAACAAAGATATCCTACTAAACCTTGTTCCAGTTCCAGCTGGGTTGTGATACCTACATTCAAAGTGATCTGACACACAGGTTTTCAATGTTTGCTTTCAGCTTCTCAGGTACCCTGATCTGAAGACAATTCTAGCAATCATTTACGGTTTGTACTCCTCACATTTCTGCTTCTGCAACTTCTGCAGTGCAGTGGTACTGACACAACTGCACACATTTGTTCAAAGCCTTTAGAAACATCCACATGACAAGAAAGGGGTTAATATTAACCACACTCTAGGTAAACCAAGAGCCTGCTGCAAAAACAGTACTTGAAGAGATTTATTTTGCATAAGCTGGGGAGAGGGTGATGGGACATCTGCCTCTTCAGCTCTATTCTACTTCAGTCAAACTAAGACTTGGATAGAAGGAAATTCATCTGTGCAACCATGGAAGGAGCACTGGGATCACGAGATGGATAGGAAAATGGAACCTGGGCAGACAAGCAGCATCACTGTGGGACCGGGCAGTGAGCCACCACACAATTGGGACGACAACAGAAGAAGAAAACAGGTATGACAGAGAAGCCATCAGCTAAAAGGAAAGACTCCAAGCAAAAATCAAGTCCACATAACCTTAATGCAAAATGGTGAGAAAAAGTGCTCACTGATTGCTTTAAAACAACATTATTTTACGCTTTATCTCAAGAGTGAACGTGTTCCAGGAGCTTGTAAGGAAGAGATTTAGAGGAGCTGGTATAACATGAGCACGCGCACTCCATGCATTTCCATGAATCATGCAAGTCACTCTTTTACAGATGCAAGAACTCAAACAGGAGGTCACACATCCCCAACAGAAGGGCCAAGCTCAATGTCAAAACCAAGAACAAGCACCTCCAAATGTACGCAAAGGCCAGATGTGATTCATCACATATAGTTGGATACTGCAGATGAATTCTGATTCGCTCTGTTACAGCATTCTATTTACTGTAAGCACTGCATAAAGTTGGCACACAGAACACATGACAACAATTTGCAGCATTAGCAGTGCAAAGTCTCTGAGGTTGAGCTGTAGGAAAGAGAGGCAGATGTTGCAAGGAAGCAGCTACAAAAAAGGTTTAAAAGGCAATCCTGTCAGATAAAGATGAAGAAGCACAATGGATTTGGAGAGTGTGCTAATCCACCTTTGAAGCAAGGCACCAAAACACACACCTGTATCTAAAGACACTGAG